GGGGAATTCTGGGAGTTGAAGTCCACACATCTTAAAGTTGTTGAGGTTGAGAAACACTGCTTTAACAAATAGAGTTGGTCCAAGAGAATGGGAAATAAAATCAGCAATGGATTCATTTGCTGTGTGGCCTCCTGAAGATAGCTGTTTCCAGGCAGTGCCAACAGGTCCTTGTCAGCTGTCAGGAGATCTTTAGCAAAGTTGCCGTTTTGGAGATTTACGGAAAGGCTACGGGTGTAGCTTCTCTCAAATAAAAGGCAATTGCTAACGGATTAAAAGAGATTTGAAAGAAACCATGCCAGGATCTTGAACCCATCACTGAAAGGCTATATAATAGATATGCAAAGCATTTGGAAGATGTTTTACAGCATGTATTAGTGTGAAAGGAGCACCTCCCTTCCAAACAGTAAAGCAGCTACACTCTCTGGAAGGCTTCCCCCACCACCAGTAGAAAGATGTCCCTAGGTGTCTCCATGTGCACATCTGCTGGTGGTCCAAGAGGAAGCAGGCAGGGGAGTGTTCAGAGCAACCATACATGCTGTGCAAAAGCTACAGGTGCCGTAACGAGCCGGTGTGTAACCCTTGGGTCCATGGGTCAACAATTTGGCTGCCTGAGTAGCAATCCTCCTCCTTCCAAACTAACTCCAACAGGCAGGCACCCAGTCCTGTTTGATTACCACAGTCAAATAGCAAATTAATAAAGAATAGAATAAAAATTCAGTCCACTCTCTCATACCCAGCAGTTCCCTTCCCATTCTTTAGACCCACCTGGAGAAATTGAACCCTGGGTCCTTTAAGCCAAGTAGGTATGAGGGACATTGGAGGGGGTGGGGGGAGGTGTTGCAATCTGTACCCAATAGGTTCCTGTTGCAAGAATGTGGAAGTTGTTGCAAGCAAGTCTTAGCAACAGCAAGCACATTTTTACAGTTCTGACTTTGCCTCACTTCCTGGTCCATAGGTGTGGCTTAGCAGAAGCAACTGCTTGGGAATTCTCTTGAGTGGAGCAGTAACACTACTTACTGGTTCCTATTCCAGCACAAACTGACACCCAGTTGTAGCCCCCAAACTACATTCTGAGTCAACAAATCAATCAGGGTTCTTTGGCACAACCACAGTTAAGCAAAGTGGATTTGTGCAAAGTGTCCTTTTCCCTTCTTCCTCCCAGTGTGGTATTTTTCAGTTACATTGACCACCAGGAGGCACCACGGCATCAGTTCATCCCTTATTGAGATTTTTCAGATGCAGGTAGTCAGATGTTGTTCTAGGGGGTTCAAACCCTTTATCCATATCTCTGTAATCGTCTTATGTAAACAAACCCTAACCTAAAGCAATTGGATTCAGTATTGTTGGCTAATAGTTTCCTTCTTCACCCCTGCCTTTATTGGCATCTTGTCCCTCCAAAATGCACCGTACAGATGGGCTCTGAAGGGAAGGTGTCTAGTTGTGGTGGCTTCCCAGACAATAAAGAGTTGATTTCTCCTACTTTAATCTGTCATTTCATTCTTCCCTTTACCCCAGTTTCTTTTTAAATCCCAAAGCGATAAAGTTCTCTATTCTCATTTTTAAGCCTGATTTTTAAATGGACAGTGCTCTGTTGGGAACAGCAGTTTCAGTTTGTTTAAAATCAGAACATCTGCCTAGAAGATTTATGAAAGTATGTCACACACTTTAAAACTGCAGGGGTTTCTTGCATTTAAGAAAGAATAATAAAAGAAGAGAAGAAAACAGGAACAACAGCCTTGTTCTGTGGCTGGAGACTGTGCCCGGCTGTTCTTTGACAGCACGAGGTAAGCAAGGAAGATGCAATGAAATATGTCCTTCTCTGTAGGTAAACAGAGAGAGATGGAGGAGGGTCTCCAAAAAAATATTGAGAGTTCAACCCATGCACAGATTCTTCCTTGCTAGCCATATGTGCTGTGATGGAGATCTTTAACTGGAGGCAGAAATGTTCCATGGATGATTCTACCTGCTTCTGCTCCTTGGATTCTAATAGAGGGACACCTTAATAAAGGCATCTCTGCTGTATTCAGTTCTACTGGGGATTTTCCACACTTCCCTATCATCAAAGGGTGCACCTTAACAGGACTAGTTTTCTTCCTCTGGAAGGAAGAATAATGCTTAAGGGATTCAGTTTCCCTTTTTCTCTCTTTTGTGATCAGCCCCATTAAAACCCAAAAGAGGAGCTTATGGGGTAAAACATGTTTTCAAGGACTTTGTTCTCCAGTGTAAAAATGAATGCGTGAACTTGTCAAAAGGAAGTTTGTGTATTGGATTTGTATTCTTATTTTAAATCAGAGCGGGGCAGAAACTAAAATGAGATCTCTTTGGCGCTTTCATTTGGCTGATACTTTAGGTAACAAGGAAACATGTGAATGAATAGCTGATGCTGCTGCCGTTCATAAAACTTTGCTAAACGTTGTCTAGGACTGCACTGTATATAAGTTTATTTGGAAATAAATCCCACTAATAGCGCCTACTTCTAAATAGACACATGACCATTCCATTGCAAATGAAACAGCCTCAACACATTCTAAGGTGAAAAAAAACAAAATGAAATTTGGAAAAGCAAATCATGCTAAATCTTTCAACAAGAGGCAAAAGTGAACAACTGATCTCCTGTATACTTATTTTCATTCCTTTCCATGTTCCCTTCCCTCTGCGCTGTTTGACTTACTTTACCATTTTTTATTCCTGATCAGAGATGAGAAAGGAATAGGAGAAGAGAAATAAAAGATGACACTTAATTTCTTGAAAGGGCAGTGATAGAGCTCCAGGAGAGCCAGTAATATGGTCTTTTAGAGATGTGGAATCTGAGTGAAGTAATTCATTTTCAAGGATGGGTTACTCTGCAGACAACCAGGGCTGTTCTCATCTCATCCAATCTTCAGATATTGACATATGTAAATTTGTTAGATGCATCCTTTACAGATGGGGGAAGAGTGATTTCTATCCTACTGGTGAATCCCTTCCTTCAAGGATTCCTCAGAAAAAGAATAATTACTGTAGGCTTCACCAGTTGAGGCTGAATTTCCTGACACACCCCAGGCTATGGAAGTTGACTATAAAAATGCTGAAAATAAAATACAGCTGTGCAGTCTTGTACATAGGCAAATTTGTTATGGTAATTTCTCTTAATACAGCCAAATCTCTACCCATAAAAAAGATTTATTTGGGAAATGGGAAGATCAAGAGAAGGCTACTGTAATACAAGGAGAATTCCAGATTAAAATCAGTCTAAGTAGTTGCATAGTACCAATCTTGCTTTCAGAACATGTGGAATTGTTCATTGCAAAGAGGTTGGTTGGAGAGAGAAAGTGCATAATAGCCTCTTGCTTAGTCATTGTTAGGTAGAGCCTATCTTCAGTTCCTTTTCCTTTTTAGAGCAATAGTGTTGCATTTTTATAGGAAGCAAACACCATCTTTGGAA